GGAAAAAGATATTGCAGAGAAAGCCACGCCTCCTGGACCTTAAGCTTCCAGCTGGCATGGAACCACTGCTGGGCCCTAACTAGCTATTCTGAGTTGAGCACTGTATCAGACAAATGTAACTGCTGACACTGATGCACTATGTATTTGTGAAGGTGAGAAATTCTGCAAGTGTGAAAAGAGCTTGCAGAAATGAAAGAATTTCAACAACATGGATGCAGGATGGCAAAAAAACCCACAGTGCTCCAGTTTACACTTCTGAAATACGGTGACCAAACCTACAGAAAAAACAAACAAACGTGAGAATCAAAAATGTGAACTTCTGGGTACGTAGAAGTGCTGATACTGAGGAGGACCTGAGAGAATGACTGCAAACAAGAGAGCAAGCATGCCATTACAGCCTCCATCAGAACAGCCACATCAGACTGCAATTACAGTGAGCCCTGCTGGGCTGCACTAGGGAGGCTAAAAGAATATTCCTGTTAGCTAAAGCCAACAGCGATTTTAAATTAAAATCCTTCAGTCTTCATTTCACGTAAAGTTTGTTGTTAATATATGAATGCGAAATGTGCAGACTTATCCATACAGCTGTGTTTGGGGAAAGTAACTTTCTGAACAGTGATGCTCTCTAGCACAGCTCTGAAATTGGAGCCCTAGAACCTTACTGAAAAGGCAGTGCGTGTGCTTTGAAGTTTCTCCATCCATCTAGTCCATAAGAGAGCTATATTAAAACTACCCTACAAAGTTGTGCAAATAAAGCAGATTACAATAACACTGTACTATCCACATTAACCAATAAAACCAAAGAAAAAATGTCACAGAGAAATGTGGCAGAAAATGACCTTAAATTACTACACACACAGGGGTATCAATTTAACAGCTTTTTAAATAAACTAATGTGCAGAAGGTAAGTTACATTTCACCCTCTCCTTCAACATTCTCCTCTGAACTGAGTGCTTTTGTTATAACCCTAAAACAATTTCACTGTAGAACTCAGACATGTACAGGAACATAATAATAAATATTTGAAAGCTAGTGAGTTTTCTGATGATAGAGAATTGAAAAGGACAGCTAAAAGGTTGTGGCATTAGAAGAAAAAGGCAGCTGATGTATGAAATGGTAGCAACTGAGCTACTACTACCTTTTAATTCCATGAAGAGATGTAAAGCAAAGCTGGGAGGAAATAAATACTCAAAGGACTAATTTCTGAACAGAAAGAAAATGCTGGAAATATCATCTTAATGTACTGATGAAGTTAAGAAAGCAAAGAGAAAGATGGTGAAAATAAAGCTTCACTTCTCTCTTCTAATATAAATCTAATACACAGCAAAAATACATTAGATTCTGTTGAATATAAAGACTAAAAACAAGATCAGTTGTCCGAATAGGATGTACCAGATTTCTCCCCTGTCTTCTGCAAATGAATGCATTTTTCTACAGTATTTATTCCTCTTCTCTGCAGAACTCACTGATGTGCTTGGGAGTAGCAGCATTTTGGGGTACAGTGTTATTGTTGTTTGAATGATATTATGCTGATTCAACCCATTCAAAAGCAAAGAGGTTTTGAAAAGGAATTCTATATATAACTTTCCCTTTAATTACTTCTAGCTATTTTAAATAGGACAAAGAAAATTACTAGTTGACATTGACGTCCATTTTTTCAATGCAAAGTGAGAAGGAACCTTTGAAAGGTGACATAATCAACTTGGAAGTGACAGCATCAACTTATATTCAGCAGGTGAAGAGAGAAACACTGAACTTGAGCTGAACGTGACACAACAAGATGCTATAATGGCACTGACCCAGGAGACAGTCATTATTTAGAAGTTCACTGATTTGGAAACAAGAAGATTACAGTATGTTTTGACCCATTTTAACATCTTTTCATTTGTAAGTTGTGTTTTTCTTTTTAGTGGATTGGCTTACTATAAACCTGAAATAACTCAAATGCATTTGGGCAATATTACACAGCCTAAGTCCTTCGTAGAACCATAGAATAGTTTGGGTTGGACAGGACCTTCAACACCTGCCACTAGCCCAGGTTTCTCAAAGCCCAATCCAACTTGTCCTTGAGCACTTCAACGTATGAGGCTTTTCTCAAAGAACCGTTAAATTTAGAGATCTGCATTTAAATAACTACCTTGGCAATCTGTAAGTTGTGGAATGATTAAGAAAAGAAAAATTAGCGAATGTCTAACTTGTTTCATAAAACAATTAAAGACAAGATAGAAATTTTGGTAGGGTAACTCCTATTGTCTTAAATGCTCTTCATGAATAAGTTTGGTCTGGTATGACATAATAAATTAATACACACATCGGAAGAGGCTTTGAGATCCCTGGTGATTGTTTTGCAGCAGTAAATTCCCATCCTTTGTGAATGGGTAGGACGGGTATTAACTGTAAGAAGCTCAGGAGAACTCAGTGTTACCAGCAGAGAAAATAAAGGATAGGGAGTTAAATCCTGGAAGACCAGAATTAGTTAAGCACTTACAGACCTTGTTGATGTAATAAAGCAATCTAGATACAAATAAACTTCCCACTCTGAAGATCAAAGTTTGCCGAGAGGTGATCAGAAAGGTGTTTATTATATAAAATCATCATATTGATTTATTAATAATAGAACTGTTTGTCTGATGAAAATTTCATTGTTTTTCACTTGCAGATTGTTCAAATTTGAGTTGAATAGAAAAATTATTTGCTGGGATTTATTGTAATTGAAATCCTTTATGCAAAGACTTTGCTACACTTACATGTTTTATTATTGACAATTCAGCCATCTAGGACTCATAATGAATCCCCCAACAGGCTCCTGAATCACTGAATTTTAAGGTTTTTGAACTCTTGAGACTATTTAGGTTGACAAAGATCTAAATACCTGCTGATATGTTGTTTCCAGTATCTAACGATGCAAAATTTTGGAACAGCCCGGTAATCAGAAAACTGCTCAGGGCTGCTTCTGTGAACAATGTCCTCATATTATTTCACTCAGAACCCAAATGAAAGCAAATAAAATCTTTGGTGAAACCTTGCTGCCAACATGCTGAATTTTTCTCAAAGGCAATTTGAATAGAAAGAATTATACACAGAACTCACTGCTACTGAAATCAAATTTAAAGTAATGTAAAAACTGAAATCAATTCTTAATGTGAATAACTGATAGACACTGATAGACACTGTACTGATGAATAACATCAGTACAGTAGTTCTTACACTCTTTCCATTCTGGCATAACTTTCCTAAAGCTCCCTGCTTCATGCAGCCATGAAGGGCTTCCAAGACTCTTCTGCAAATAACTTGGAAGCAAAAGAAAAAATCAGAAGAAACTTCCTGTGAAGTTCCCAATTTGGCCCCAAACTTTTTTTGAACATGTTAAAGTAACTGGGTTTAAGAGAGATATTATTTATTTATAATTAACACTTACACATACAGGAAAAGGAAACCTCAGCTCTCTTACCAAATGGTTTCTAGAAATGCTTATTCAAACTGACATATGCATGACAAGTTTCAGCTCAGTATGATTTGAGGAGGAGGAGTTATACCGCCCAGAAAAATAGTGTTTATGACAGAAATGACAAAGGCTCATTCATCATAGGACTTTTCTGTGTGGAACAGTAATAAAGCTTAAATGAGACTGCACTTCATTAGTAATTCATTTCACAGATCACTATATAAACACAAATAGCATAACTCTATTACGTCCTCATCGTACCATTCGTTACAGTACTTCATATACTATATCCACATGACAACATAGAAATGCAGCAATTTCTGGGGAAGAGAACAGCCACCAAGTGTACAGCAGCACACAGGAAGGAAAACCATCAGCCAGAACCGCAGAAGTAGCAACGCTCACAAGAAAAGGACAGCACAAAACAACTAAATTGAATGCTCAGAGACAGGCCGTTAAGTCAAATAGTTTTACTCCATTTTTTCTTGACTGATGTCCCATTTGATTTAGAAAGCAGAAATAAAGGAAGAAGACTGAAAGAACCTGCCATTCTCAGTAAGACTGACTAACATCAGAGGCTCTCACCAGAACTTCCTGACTGGAATTCACTCTCACCCTCACTTGATCCTTGAGTTTTGCACTGGTGTTTGCCATTTACCACAGGAATGAAAAGCACATCAGTTCATTTGGTTTCATCAGTCCGTATCTGGAATGCAGCTCTTCAGGTATAGAAAACGACACGTTCTGAGATGCAACTCTCTCTCTACTATGACTTCTGCTAAGTAAGAACTCGGCACAGATCATTGCTACTTTACTCTCCAGCAGGTAACAATCCTCAGACTATCACAACTGAAGCCAAACATTTTCATTAATCCTCAAGAGATGAATGAAGACCTTGGCCTTCCACGTGCATGTTAAAACATGGTATTCTGTACAACTCCACTGAATGCTATGAGAAGGACAAAGACAGGACACCTGTAAATGTCTCAACTCTTTTTTGCTGATTTTTTGTGATGAATTATCTTGGGAAGCAATAGTGTTCGATGATGTAGCGTTGGACCTTTGAAATAACATTTGTAATGTATACATTATGTGAATATTTTCTGAAACACCGACTAAAAGGAAATGTGTTACTTTTAAATAGTGAGTATGATTAAATTCATTCTCTTGATTTTCTTGCCAAAATCTCAGCTGTAAGAAATATATTAAGAAGGTAAATGACACTTCAGTTCTAGAGCTTCCATGTTTAAAAATATATATATTTTTATTTTATTTTTATTAGTAAGAAAGTTATAAGTAAAGCCATTGTACTTGCAATGCTAATTAAGCTAATTAAGAATTCTGACAAATTCAGAAGATCTGCAGAAGCTGGTCAGTGTTGAGGTAGACTTTACATTCATTTTACATATAACAGTTTTACCTAATAGAAGCATGGAAATACTCTTCTTAGTCTTCTCTAGAACAATTCCTAGTCAATCAAGTCAGAAAATGAAAACACACTATTTAAAAAAAGTCTCAATAAGTACAGAAAGAAATATTCCATGTTTCTACTTACCTGTCTGTCTACTTCTGGAAGCAAAAGCAGGAGGTATTGTTGAAAGTGCTGAGGTAAAGAAGCAAAGGTGTGTTTATTTATTAAAGCCCTCAGGTTGGTGTTCACTAGAATAGATCCTGGTGTTTCTATGTCAATATCCTCAGCTTTGGTCCATTTCAAATGTCCTGGAGAGAAGAAAAAAAACAACAACCAAGAAATAGTTTCAAACACATATAAAGAAAGAGAATAAAAACAATTCCTGTTTTTATGCTTTTAGTTTTCATCAGTTTAATATAGAAAGCTCCAGAGAAATGGTACTCTCAGATGGTAGCAGCCTTTTTTTTGCTCACAGCTTGTTTTATATTTCCTGAATTTCTTTCTTGAGATCTTACAGCATCCATGTTCCAGTCAACAGCACAACAGACACATTCTTACATTCAGATCAAGAGATCAACTCAACTCAGCAGAAGCAGATAATTTTCCTGTCATCAACATAATTCTATTTCCAAGCAAAAGGCTGATGCCAATCAATTATTATAGAGAGATTTTCTTGGGCCTGTGCCCCGCATTTGCAGTGCACTATGGTTTGCCTAACTCAGTCCACAGACTTGCTAAAACCTACCTGTATGAATAGACAGTTATCACAGAGGTGAGAATATCTACAGTGTTAATTTCGTGTTTGAAAACATGTATTTCTCAGAATTTTTGTTAGAACCTATGATGAAAAATGAGCAACACAGAGAAGACAACAGCAACAATTATCAGAAGTCTCAAAACAGAGTCCATGAGGAAAAATAAGACAAAGACTACACAGGAGGAAGGGGAAAATATATTAAAAACTGAATACAGGCATAAATGTCTTCCTACTGCCCACAGTCTAGAGCAAAGGAAGTGTTGCACAGTATGAAATATTACTGTCAAGGTAATACAAAGCTTTCAGCCACCTAGGACATTAGATTATCATAGAACTGTAGAATATCTTAAGTTGGAAGGGACCCATAAGAATTATCAGATCCTACTCCTGGCTCCACATAGCCTCACCCTAAAATCAGACCGTATGTCTGAGGATGTTGTCCAGGTGCTTATTCAATTCTGGCAAGCTCAGTGCTGTGACCACTGCCCTGGAGAGCCTGTTCCAGGGCCCAACCACCCTCTGATGAAGATATCTCAGGAAAGGCATTTCAGTCTTTATCACTGGAAAACTTTTAAGAATATGCAGAGAAATATCTGTCAGGAATGACAGATGTACAAGCTGATTTTGCCTTGTGACTAATGAATTTGGGTCACTACTGGAAGTCCCATCTGGCCTAACTTTGCTTTTATTTCTGTGATAATACTAATAGACAAAGCCCCTTAAAAAGCAGCTCACTACTGCTGCCTGCATCAGGATATATACATACTGCTATGAACCTTTTTGCCTTCCAGTCTTAACATACTATGATACACAGTACAGGAATGGAAGAAGTAAGGAGCATAGGAGGCCATTACAAATCAAAAACTTCTAACTCTTCACAGGAGGTTTTGATCTGTTGTACTTTCAAATATTTCAGAAATGATACAAGAGAAACCTTGTAGCAAGAATTATAACTGTTTTGTTAAGAATATTTATATTTTATAAATATGGATATTTGGGCATATTAGGAAATTCTCAAATGGTACAAAGTGTTAAACTGCTAACATTAATAAAAGCAGTGCTGTTACGCTTTAGATTTCTTGGAAGACTATGATCATTTATCCTGAAAGGTTATAGCATCACCCACAAAGTGCAGAAATGAAAGAAACTGCAATAGATTTGTAAATTCTGCAAGCTCCCCTTCAGTCACAGCCTCCCACAAACATTCTTCTAATTTCCTTTTACTTTTTAGCAAACAATAGTAACTGAATGAGACAACCGTTACTTTGCATTCAGTACATATCCTTTTCCAACTCATTTCTAACATACTGTATCTCTGCACAGCAAAATCTCCACTATGAACAAATGAATGCCCTGTTATAAAAGACAACTGTGTGGAAGAAGTGCTCATTTTCATGAATGCATCACAGTAAAATGTCCTCACCATCTGTTCCACCCACAAAATATGAATGCAAAAAGAACACAATCTCCAAGTGTAACACAAGTAGTATGATGTATCCAAATGCAATGCCTGTATATATATTCCTTTCTTTAATCCATAAAGCATACACATCTCTATCTTCTAAGTAACTACAAAATGAAGTAACATTTTCCCCAGTTGATGCTTCGGATTATGCCATACGCATATAGGTGGTCCAAACCAAAACAGAAGATATGATTGCAAAGTCAGTAACATCCAACATTGGTAGGTATTTTAATAGTGAGAAGAGACCAAGACAGTACCAGAAACTCACGCCTAATTCTGTGTGCCTGAGTTACACATTTTCCAATTATTTAACCTCCTACCACTGCACGTTGCTATGGCTGCTTTATCAACATGAGGAAGAAACACACACACTACTCCTAGGATAACAGGCTACCAGATCACTGTGAGTGGCCAGCATAGATATGGCAAATAAAAAAAGGGGAAAAAAAAATAAGAGAAGATCTGTTCAGAAAGGCAACAAGTTTTCTCTCCTGTATCCCTCCTAGCTTTAGGACCATTGCTGTAGGTTTCAAGTTCATAGTCAGATTTCGAGAAATATTTCAGAACAGCAGGGAAAGTAGCAACACTGTGGAATTTGACTGTACACCTCCACTGCGTAGCTACTCATAACTCTGAGAGACAGGAGTTTATCACAGAGCATTTGTCAATGTTTTTCATGTTGTGTTTCCACGGAAAAAGACACTTTGAGTCTTTATGTAGCTGCTACCGCAGTTTGGGAGTACCTCTGGCCAGATCAGAAATAGAATCTGGAGGATAAGAAAGAAAGACAAGCTTACAGCCTTGGAAAATAAGAGATTAGTCTTCAAGATAAAGCATTACCTATGAAAAGGGTGAAAAATATATATTTCTACATTGAAGTATGGGAGTCAAAATAGAAGGACAGAAATCACAGAAAACTTTAATCTTTCTACAGTATATCCCACGTTCCAAGGATGGTACCTCAAATGGCTGCAGAATTTATTCTGAAAGCTACAAAAAAAAAGATTTAATGAATTCATTCTGTATTTGGTACCAGAGGCCATATTGATGAAATATCTAGGGATAGGGAGGAATGGGTGCATCAAATCACACGTCTCAGTCTCACAGCTAGAGAAAAGTTACAGGAAATCATCAGAAATTGAACATATTTTTGCAAAGCAAAAAGGCAGTATTATCAGTTTTGAGTAACAGCATTTGATCAACAGAGACACTACATATCCATCTGAGATCAATAAATATTCTGCCAGAAGATCATATATGAAATCAAAACACAATTTCCTGGAAGTTTGCGATACAATGAGGCTTGTATAAAAGAGTTCACCAGAAACTGGAAACAGAGTATTTAACAAGCAACCTATAATATTGAGCAAGTATCTTCATTATTTTGCAGAATTGTTATATAAGAAAATAGATGAGGCTGTTCATAAAGAAAAACAATCCTATAATGAAAACAGGCATTAAATAATTTTGGAGATTATCCAGCCATTATGAAAAACTTGTTTGCAAACATTTCCAATGTGGTCACATTGCGAAATTCTTTTCTAAATGATTCAGCAGTCTGCTGAATGCAAAAGGTCCTCTGTAAAGAAACAGTTATGTAATTATTCGACTTTGCTTTATACGAGACAAGAGTCTTAGTGAATAGTACTTTTTCTGTTCCTTAGGGAACATTTCCAATTATGTTTTGTGCAGTGCAGAAAAAATTTCTCCATCACATGGAGCTATTGGGACTTTACTCTTTGCATCTCTTCAGAGAAAATTCTTCATTAATTACAGATCAGCATTCACGAATCTTGGTAAATAACATGGAAAACAAAAAACAGAAACTGTATCTACAACCTCAAGAGATGTAGCTTCAAAAATAATTTAGGATCCAGCAGAAGAAACAAATCAACCAAAGAAACAGAATCAATCAAAAATGATGTGCCAAACCTCTACATGACACAGAATAATGCAAATGAAGGAGAGAGTTAACTTAGAATAGAACAGATATGTAAGAAAATACACTATTCTCTTTGGGATTAAGCATGCATTAAGACTGCAAGCAGACTTAACAGTAAGAAAGAATATCTGCTACTCCACCCCTTACCACCCGCCCAAAAATCATAACGCAGCAATCAGAAGCAAGCTGCTAAATGACCTCTGTCTGCACTTGCTTGGGACTGTCAAATTTAAAAAGCAAGTACAGAAAAGCATTCTTGGGGAAAAACAATTGCCTGTGGATTTTCAAAACAGCCAGAAAAAAAAGATACTTTCTTGCGAAAAGGTCAACTTCGGACTTTGAGAAAGAGACTGGTAAATCAGCAACACAAAACTTTTAAATACAGCATAGCCATTCTAAACATCTCAATAGTATAATAACAAATAAATATACTTATTTTACTCTCACTCACCTAAACCAGATTTTTTTAACCTCTTTAAGTGCTGGCTTGTTTGTTTTCCAGTTGGAGACTTTTGTCCATGTTTCATCTCTTTATCAGAACCATCTGCTTCACCATTTTTAGATTCAGATCCTTAGGAGAAAAACAGAACAAAGCATGATACTGATGCACTTGTATCACAAGCTCTCCCTCCTCCCTGTCCCCTTGCTACACTGTAAACACAGCAAAAATGGGATTAAAGAAAACTGACATCTACTTGCTGAGAGGCAGTGCACCTTTCTGGTCACAATACAATTTCTCATCATCAGAGGAAATGGAAGAAAAAGATCAATAAGTCAATTAAGCGCTGAAAACTAAAGTTTATTGAACATTATAGTCAATAAAAATGTTCACTGATCTAATAAAAATAACGTTTTCCTATAACACACAAGGGATATCTTTAAAAATATTTTAACCTCAAGCTATGGGGCAGTAATGCAATCTAAAGGTGAAAAAAGATCGTTTTTCTCTGAAGTAGCACTTACAGAATGGAGATGCCTGGAAATACAATTGTCAATTTCTGTTAAACACAGACATAAAAATCTCTTAAAATGAAGAAACTTAATCGGAGCTAAAGGTCATAGTAACACTGTGGTGCTAAGAACAGCACCAGAACAAGAAAAGCTAACAAAAGGATCCCAGGATTGCAATGCAGAATTGACACAAATTCACATTCACAGAGAAGCTTGCCTTTCTTCTCCCCTCTCCTTTTCATGGCCTTGAATACCAGCATGTGGTCCTCCATTAGAGTTCCAGAGCCAAATAAAATGTTACTTTGCATTCCTTTAAGGCTGCTGCTATTATTAATTGCCATTTTACTGTGTGCCTTCAGCTCTTTATTAAAATTAAAGTAAAATCTCCGTCCTTGAGTCACAGATTTGATAAGGAAATAAAGACGTTACACAAAGCTTCCAAGTGACAATATTATTTTCAGCAGTCTCCCATTCTGTATGCTACACATCTGACTCAGAGGAAGGCTCTGTGACTAGCACTGATCTTGCAAACAGTCCTTTAGCTATTTACCTGAAGGTGAATCCGACTGCTCATCAGACACCTTTAATGGTGTCAAAACAACACGAGGAACAGTCTTGTTTACCATCATTGAGACTCCATTTCTTCTTTTCTGCTGTTGTCTTAAAGCCTATAAAAATGATAACAAAACATAAAAATGTAACAAAAAAATACTGCTCATAAGCAAATTACACGAGACATTTCTCTACCATTTCACTGAATCTCTTAAAATAAGCGTAATTTACGTAGTTACTGAATTGCCAGATTTCGCATTTGTCCCCTTTATGTCATTTTCCTTTAAAATACAAAATCAGGCTTTTTGGTTATAAAGAGAAAGATGCACCTCAGATCATTTTCCCTCACAACTTTGACAACAAAGAAGCACATAATTGTTTGCTCTACCTTAACAGCACAACATGATAACCCATGGAATGTGAAACTAAGAATTCCAGGTAAAAAAAACAGAAAATAAATGTTTCAAAACAAGAATAAAAATATATGTGTCTGCACATCTCTCGCAGGTGCATCCTCTCCAGTATACTGCTCAGTCAATCAAGTTAACACAGAGTGTCATCAGTATGTACAGCATGTAAGGACTACAGTATTGATGCACTCACTCAGCCGTGAGTAGTGCTGCACAAAATCACTGAACATGGCAGGAATCATTTATTTTTGTGAAGGGAATCAGTCCTAATCTTGGAAACCTTGCAGCACTTGGCTTCTGCCTGCTTGACTTCGGGCATTAACCTTCAGAACACGAACGCGATGATGTTCTGGCAAATCTCGGGAAAAATGATACAAGAATAAATCTCTACAAATGGAAGTGCTTTGTGTTTCATAAATGGATCGAGTGCAGGGTTGATAATGCAATACCAAATATTTAAAGGTTTGTAATAGCAAATACCTGACAGATTGTTTGATGTGGAAAATGATACTTGATTCAAAAGATCTTAAAATGTACAAATATGAATGCTTGCACATTGATACATTTGCAAGCATTAAAATTCTGGAATTAATCAGGATGGGCTGGGCTTAATACGGATCCCTTCTATTCTCCTGTCTATTTTCCTGCACCATCTTACTGTGCACTCTCTTTATATAAATGTAATTTGTGTTATGATCTTCTGAGAGATTTATTAAAGTAATACTATATCAATACGATATGTATTTGATATGAATTAGTCCTATAGTTTTATAAGCATGAATGATTAAAGACTTATAAAGATTAAATCTGTAACTTCAATTAATCTGCAATATTCAAAAAGTTCACATAGCTAAATCAAATAGAGAAAAAAAAAAAAGATTCCTGAAAAAAAGAAATCAATATCATTCCACTCTTCTAAATAACACACTATGCAACATAAAATACACCAAGCCACATAAAAGCTATTTCATCGATTAACCCCTTTTATAGTACAGTTCTTTAAAGACACATGAGCACTGTCCAATAAAAAGTGAATTACGACACCCAAAATCAAACAAATAGAAGAACCTGGTCGGATCTGCACTGAACCAAAGACACAAACAGAAAGCAATGAAGAACAGCCTACAGAAAGACACAAAATTCATACTTGTAATGGGCAAAGATAGTCATACCCATGGATAGAAAATTACAAAATGTAACAATGTCTCAAAAAGTACCCCAGAATTCCAAAACTTATTCCTCAGTGTACAGTCATGCCAACCCAGGTATCAAAACAGGTGACCTTCATTCAAGAGTGATGCCACTCAACAAATAGTCCGCTAAAAATTAAGTGAAAAGACAGCCAACTGCTGTCCTAACAATATGACATAACCACAACCCAGTCATTGCACTGTTGTGCCCCAGAGCCTTATTTACACAATGAACAAAGAGAAAACATCCAACCTCAGTAGTATCCTCCCTAGACAAATGAATATGAACACAAAAAAGTCCCACATTCTCCTGCAGTTTCATGGCAATTTCCACCTTTACCAGGGCTCATGACCTTGTTTCCAGCACCTTATAAAAGTATTGTCATAGTGTTTTATATCACTGCCATGACAAAGGTAGATTCTTTTAAAGCCTCTCAATTATCCACGCTTTAGACTCAAGGCCACAGAAAGGAGAGGGGACAGGACATGGTGAAGCACCCATGTCAGGTGATCAGTGTTTGTATGCTGCAGGGAACATGCTAGCTGCCAGAGCAAGGGCAGCACTACCCAGTCTTTGCCAAGCAGACTACTCACTTACCTTGTTTTGGCCAGCACGGGGCATGCTATGCTCACATGGTTGTATGGAACAGGAGCACCCATCCCAGCATGTCCCAGGAAAACCCTCAGTGCCACAAAGGCAAGAAAGTAGGATCTGGTGGACACTGCTACCAGTGGTACTGCACAGCACACTCATGAGCTAGAGGCTAACTGCCTCAACAAGTGAGAACAAAACAGAACCTTAAAGAAGCACTTCTCTTGATACATATTTGTTTTTCAGCATTTCCTTCTCCCTCTAACATTCTTTCTTTCACTGGCAGTCCCTCCTCCAGTCTCACAACACAAGGGATGGATCACCAGATGGGGCTGTATAGGGTGACTCAAGCTGACAATAAAGATGCATATGTGTGGACAGCCAATAGTCATGTTGTAAAATGGAAAAAAAAAAAAAAAAAACCAAAAACAAACAAACAAACAAACAAAAAAAAACCACCCCAAAACTAAGCAAACACCAAAATCAGTCTAACTTCAACACAAAATGCCAGTGAATCATGCTGTGCCCACAGAATACACTAACAGTCATCCCTACCCTTCTCTTTCCATTTGTCTAAGGAAAGCTATGAAGTAGGAGGAGAGTGTAGTAAAGTATCAGGTAAATAATTTCACATTTGACATACATGGTTAAAATATGGCTGAGATTTTGCTCAGTCATCCTGTTTCGTGGAAGAAATTATTCTCAGCTAATCACAACTTTTTTTTTTTTTTTTTTTTTTATATTTCTACTTTGAATTTAAAGGTTCAGGGTCTAAAATTGCGGATAGGCAAGTGTTTGCATGACAACACTAGGAGCAAACTAAGCCTAGGGAGAAACTGCAGACTGAAACCTAGTTACTAGTAAAACCAAACACCAGAAGGAGTTAAGTATAAACCAAGGACACTGCGTGCAGTCTCTGCTGAGGACAAATATATAACTGCTCTACACTTCGCCTGAGGGATATTAATTTTAGGATACAAGACTACTGTAGGAAAAGACAAGAATCTTGTATCCCAAGATTAATTCTACTTAGCTCGGAAGTCAACGGGATTACTCAGAGTGAAATATACACCAAATGCTTTGCTATATTGAGCCTTCAGTGTACCAAGCTAATTTAGTGCTTTCCTTGTCACCTTAATCAGATAAATCTTCAGTTTTAGCTCTTCTGGTGAAGGGAATAAACACAAAGTAGACAAGTAAAATTTGTAACTACCACTGAAGAGAATGAGAAATTTTATAACTTATTTCAAAGAAAAATGGTTCCAGAACTCATTGTAGAAACAGAAACAGTAACTAACACAAATGATATTGGCATCTTCTACTGACACAGCCCATTGCAACTCATCCATATTTAGAGATATATGCAAGAAAGAGCCAATGGCTCTACCAAATGATAAGGTGTCATTTTTACTACAGAAAGTAAGATAGTAACATATATAGCATGTATGATAGCTTATATAATACATATTTTTCCTTAATGAGATGAAGGTCTATGTTTACACTTCAAATGTATTCAGTCATTTTGTGCTAAATGCTTCAGTTAAAAAAAGCTGCAAGTTGTAAATTCCTAGAACTGAGAACCGTTACAGCAATCTGTAAAACATTACTGTCATCCTATCTCTACAGCACATGAATAAAAAAGGAGAGAAAGAAAATGAAGGTTCATGTGGCATACAAGTTAAACATTAAAATCTCTATTAAAATCACCACCAAAATATAGTACTTACATACAGCCTTTCACAAGCAGATTTGCAAAGGACATCTGTGAATCTCTTGCACATAACGAGTATGGAGAATTCTCAATATTCCCATTCATAAAACAGAACCTGTGACCATCTGTTGAATAACACTGCCACGGTCATTATACAGGGCTTGGTATAATTAATTTGTTTAATAATATTATTTTTATTGCCAAAAACTTTAAGTAACCTGTCAATCTATTTTCATCCAAAGAGCTCAAAATAACATAAAAAAAAAAGAGTGGTAAAAATCCAAACTCAAAAGATATGTGCCAAAAAGAAAAACATAATGCAACTAACACTGATCTTCTAATTTCAATCTGTTTTTCATATGTAGGTCACAAGAACAGGTCTCCTCTTTTTTAGGGAGTTTATGACCTTGTTGGAGTATAGCAGCATGTTGAAGGATTCATGAACGCCATTATATATTCTTAAAAACAATCTTTTCATATAAGTAGTTGCTTTTGACATAGGAAAGACTTCTTCAACTAAATAACAAGGTAGCAGACTCCATTAAATAAAAGCAAATAAAAATAAGCATTCATTGATGCAGGAGTGAAAGGAAACTTAGACTAAAAGATAACTGGGGAGAGGGAAAAATATATCCCTCAAAGAGTCCCAGAAGTAAAATGTCAAGCATTACGCTCTCATTTAATGCTGCTTAGGATTTTTTTTTTTTTCATTTTTCTTTCCCACATCTTTTCAACTCATAATGAAAAAATGCAGCACACAAACAAACCATTAATGTAGAAAATCACTTTCATTTGAGCTTAAACGCATGACACGCTGAGAATGTTAAAAATTAAGTTATTAACAACAAAGATATGTACCAGTTGGTTGCATTAAGCAACACTGTCCCAGATTTCTTTTTGTTACTGAAATGTCAAGTCTACATTCTGAAACTCATATCATGAAACATAACCTTTGAAATTTCACAGTTTATGGATCAGAAACATAAAGCTACGGAATTCTTCCATTCTGCCATGTAAAAAACACATGCTATAATAAACAGAAAAGAAGTCTACTGTACGAAATAAATAACAACTCTGCATTATGGTCATGGATCCTAAATTGTCAATGTCAAAACAGATTTATAGTTTATCACTGATTCACTTAACACCACCATAAAATTCCATCTTTGTCCTCTCACTCATCTTCATCTTGTTAGTAAAATAAAGACAGGCTTTAATTCCTATGTTTCTCTTGAATTAAAATCTCAGTGGCAACCTGTTTCATGGGTACATAGAACACTTAAAAAAACAACAACAAAATACAGCAAGCATCACAAATCATGAAGAGTAAACACATTATTGTTCCTGGGATGCCACCACTTAGTAAACATATGCTGAAAGTAGTTACAGGCATGCAAATTTATAATTAAAACAATAATAAAAATCTCCCAAGGAAACTGCTACAAAATACAAAGCATCATTTCCAAAGCATGGAACAAATTAATGTATTTCCAGCCAGACCTGTACACCAAACATAACAATATTGGCACTATATGTATACAACTGGTTGTTTGGAGATGAAGAACAGAGGCAGAATACCTGGAAGTTCTTAAACCTAGAGACTATTTTCAACTTATGCTGATCAGTTGTAGAATAAGTGTCTGTTCTCATACTCCTATTTATTTTTTGGAACATAAATCATTTCCAGGTCTCTGTAGCACTGAAGGTCTTTATGCACAATTACAGCACTCATTAACAGATGAACATTTTTCTGTGTTTTAACAAAAATGAAAATAAAGTGCATGGACATTTGTGACATAGAGAGAATGTGCATTCCCGCACATGTCTGCATCTGCAAGTCAGCCCTACCTTCTATAGGGGTAAAAGAATACATTCACACCTACAATTGCTGCAGTTCACAACAGACTGCAAAGTAAAGTTTTGTTTGCTTTCCCAATCCCAGAAAAAGACAGGACAAACAAAAGTGTGATGTGTTCAACGCCTGTTCTGCCTTGCATGTGAACGGGAATGACAACGACATGGGCACTCACTCAGTGACCTTTTTTTTTTTTTGTCTAAAGTGAAGAGTGAATTTAAAAAAAAACAAAATGGTGTAACAATATGATAATAATATCTACCAGCTGAAAAATATTCTACAGGAAAGCTGCTGCTTGAAACAATAAAGCACATGTAGGTAAGCAAGCAGTTTGCATAAAGCAGTTTAAAAACAATATAACAATGTCAATACAAAATCTTGTAACAATAAACAGTATTTTCCCGCAGGTCATATTTGCAAACATACTACGCTTGTACACTTGTAAAGGGTGCAAAGTGCAGTGGGGGAACTATAAAGCTAGACTACCATCCTCCAGATAAAAACATCTCGTCATTACATCTCAGAGAAAGTGGTTCAGCAATTTACATTAGACTGTTGTATGCATGAAGATTGGACTGTCTTTATGCCAGACGCCCTGCTCCAGCTTGCGTTCTGCCACATGCCCCTGCACCCTAGCAAGCAGCCTTCTGGGGACCTATCCAACAGTTCTTACAAAGGGATTTCCAGATTACTGCCTGTCAGCATTTTGTTGGAGGCTTTTGAGAAGAGTTGTGAGCTATTACAACTCCTGCCTTTCTCTCAAAAGACCAACTATTTCTAAGATGAACTTTAAAATCGAGGCCAGATTCAGTTTCTCCTGGGTCTTATTTTGTATGTAATACAATATTCCAATCAAAATCCGTTCTTTACATTTGGCTCAGAAGAAGGTATTCACTTAAGACACCCACTGCCAGTATATGGAAGAATCACGTAACATCTTCAGAAAAGTTTGACTAATGTACGCTGTACCAACAAAATGAAACTCCCATCTACACTGATAGTATTTGTCATTAGTACCATACTTACAACCAATCCATCTTAAAAGTTCCCTAGGCTATCTAAAGAAGACCATTATCAGATAAGTGCAGTGTTTAAATTTAGACCGCTGCCACCATTTTGGTTGTCTAAGACTTGAGACAAGCAACAGCATCTACACAGCAGAAATAAGAGAGAGCTGAGAGAATTTTTGACATAGATTTGGGAAGGGAATGTATGTATGGGTGGAATATTTAAAAAAAGGTTTCATTCAAGGGTAGATTTTAAGTGAAGGATCCAATCTTACCGTGAAGGAGAGCAGTCAACAATGCTTCAACATGGTAGTGTTCTAAAGTTGCTTAAAAATTCTTTTTAGATATTTCTCAGAGTAAGAAATTCTGAAAACCACATTTATTAAAACAGCAAACATGCAGGACAGATGCAAAAAAGCATGCTATGCAAACAACCCATTAGGGAAAACAAACAAGCAAATGCCCCCAGCAACTGGAAGTTAATATTTAAAAAGTGGCACAAAAAGAATAGAGGGATCATTTGGATTCCTGCCCCTTTTCTTTCCACCACAAGTAAAGGCTGTGGACCATGGGGATGACCCAGAAAAAAAAGTCCCATAAACACTGTCTTGCGTCTTACCAAAGCACTGTGTTGAGCAGCTGGTACATGCTGCCCACGCATAGGGACCTTTAGAGGGACATACCGTGCAGCCTGCCTTCGGGCAATGCATGTACTCCCTGAAGAGCTCCTTCTGGAACTCTTGCTCTTCCAGCTTCTTTTCCCCATTATGCAGTCTCCCTGCCATAGTTTCTCTGTCCTCTTCCCTAGACTTGTCTTGACAATCAGAAAATCAGTTTAGTTTAGCATCTTCGAAATTCCATTTTCCTGAATGCATTTTGTAAATTCCACTGTCCCTTCCCATGTCTCTCTAGTAGTCAAAAAGCAACACATTTTTCTTGTTTTTCATTTGTTGACAGGAAAATTTGTCAAGAATCATCACTTATGTTGCCAGACATCTGATCAAATGCTTCAGCTAGGGAGCCAGAATTCTCCAACTGTGGCCTTGGTAAATCTGCAGTATCTGAAATGAAACATAGGAAAATGGTTAATGTAGGCTCTAAGACAGTACAACAAATTCTCTATTACCAAGGAATTCAGTACAAGAAGTATCTCTCAGTTCACAGTGGAATTTCAGAGACTTTTAGGAAGTCACCCGGTGCTCAAACTCTACATGTTCTGGTCATATTCAGAATAATCTCCTCTGTCATGCTTATTTCTTCAAGGGTGGAGATGGGAAAGGAGGGCAGACAAATATATCAGGCTTGTATCAGAACATATGAATGAGTCATATCAACTGAGTCAAAGGACAAACACCATAGACAGAGTCATATGGATTAATTTCTAAGGACAGGAAAGTGCTTCAGGAGAGCCTGTATCTGGCTGTAGTCAAGGAAAGAAGTCCTAACAGAATGACCATGGAGGGAGCAAGACTGGTGAGTTTGCTCTTTTTCTTCTCTCAAAGCAAGGTAAGAGGTATGCCTGAGCTGGAGAAAGGAAAGCAAATCCACACCAGAGTCAAGGGAGTACAGGATTCTACCTTCAGTGCCAACCTAGGCACGTGGACACCTGTGTAATTAAAAAAACCAACCAACCATACGAAAAATCCTGATAAAACAGTTCAGTGAATTTGGGCAAATCAGGGCTAAGTCATGGTCTTCACCATCCTGCTCCAAAATTTAATCTTCTGTTGCTTCATGTTATCGATTGGTTTCTAATAATATCAATTATAGTTATGCCAGAAAAGTTAGCCTGAAATATTACTTGGAGTTTATATGTCTAATGTCCTATAATTCAGAAGCAACAAATGAGCCAAACTTCCCCACAGCTTTCTTACTGCTCGGGGGCTGAGAGCATCCATTGAAATGAAAAGGGGTGTGGAGCTGCCACTTCTGTTCTAAGAACAAATCATACGGATGGGTGCTTCCTTCTTCATGAGAAACTGCATCTACCCACTTCATGAATAAATTAGTGGCACATATTACAAACCCAGCCACCAAGCATGCAGACAAAGCCCAAAGTTAAGAAAAACAAAACAAAGCAGCAGCAATAACATACCTTGAGTAGATTCCCTTATTTCCTGAGCTTGTCTCCTCCCAAACCCACTTGGCTGCTGTCTCTGGAGTTTCTGTCTCTACAAAGAGATCTGGATGCCCAGCACAGTCTCAGACATGTCCTGGTCTGTATTCAGATTCTGAGTCTGAATGAAGTATCCTTCTCTTCTCCCAACAGAAAATTTATGGGTACCCTTCTTGGTGCTGCTTCCAAAGTGCCAAAAGTGAGGCAGGATTTTCTTCCATGTCTGAGAGGTCTAATATCATCCCAGACATCGTTATATCACATCTTCAAGTTCTTTATTCTTTCTTGGTACTGACTCAGGAACCAACTGGTACACTGATGGGCAAGGTACTTGGCTATCAGAGTCCAACAGACACTAACACCACCTCAATGTCCTTGATATTCACAATATGCTCACGTGTTACCTATGTGAGGACAGTTTGCAGGTATGATCGTTTCTTCTGATAAATGTTCCAAGAACATCCTGATAGATACAGACAAATCTGTACATAGTGAAGACTTCCAGAAAAAGTAACACCTCAAGTCAATGGAACAGAAACTGGACCAGAGAGGAGCATGGTAGATACTATGCCATGACTTGATATCCATACTTGAGTTTAGCTTTGTCCAGAGCAAGAATAATTCACACAGTAGTGTGATCATGTGCCACTGTTAGCAGATGCAGATGTAGTTCAGTACTTTCCTGGTAAGAGATCCTTACATAGGTCTGCATGCCAAAATCCTCAAGTGTGAAAATGAGGTATGGAACTGATCAGTACTGATGGGAAATCAGTATGTGACAGCATGCCAGGAACACCTTTTCCAATGTTACTAGATATGCAATAGCTGGGCACACATACCCAACCACTTCCAACACCAAAAGGGAAATAATATCTTTAAAATCTGCCATCAGAAAGATGAGCATAAAAGACAGCTCTACACCAGACTCTTTTGTCTAAACTAACATGAATAGGAAATATTTTGTTGGACTTTGCAACAACTATTCAGGAGCAAAAGTGAAACTTCCTCAAAAATGAAATAAGCAGCATGAAATACAATCGGTGGTGAAACAATTGAAATACCTCTTCCAGCAAAATGACACTATGGAAGGTTGTGAAGCTAGAAAGTTTCCAGAACAAAATGGCAGCCCAGGCTTTTAAATGTGATGAAATAAGGTCTGAAGTGTGACACAGACCTTCTGAGAGTCCACAGGAACTGTGAAGCTCCCTACCCCCTGCGAAGCACCTCCAGATCTACTGCTACCTGAGAGAAGTCAAGACCAAGAGCCAGGGCTGAGAAAATGCCCCTTCCTCCAAGCTGCTGGCATAGCTCAAGAAATTCATTGTCATGACCAATTTGATTCACGAGAACATCCTAAAAATGCAGGCGGTCACAAGGAAACATAAGATTGTTCTCTGCAACCTACACCCAGGAATATCTCTAAAATTCATTAAAAATGAAACCATTTGTAAATCCAGCATAACACTTTAAAGAGAATGACATGACCACAGTGACTAACAAGTAGATAAACAGTGGAAAAAACCTGTTGATTTGAGCCCAGATCTTCAGGTGTACTTCATGTTATCAACCTGCCTCTCTTTAATTTTTAATGGACAACAAAAGAAATACACACCTCATTCTGACATTATATATATGATTATACATCATAAATATTGCTGAAAGCAACTGAAAGATGAGCAAAAAGGCTCATCTTTTGTTACTTTAGCACAGAACCTATAAGTTGGTATCAGAAGACTATTGCAGCCAACTGCCTGAATTTTTTCTGCATTTAAATGAACTCCAGGCAGTCATTTGTACAAATTTTGCATTATGTATCCACAAAAGCAACAGAACAAAATTCCCACAGTAATTTTATCCATTAAATCACTGCTGAAATTCATTTTTCTCTGTTACCATATCAAATTAAATCAAATCTGCAGCATGCATACGGCAGTAGCCAGCACCTGAGAAAAAGCAGAACAGGTAAAATCCTCTACCACTCCACAATGAATGCAGAGAACACATTTTACTGATAGTTGAACTAATAATCTCATACTCTGAAGTACAAGATCTAATTACTATCAACTTAATTAAAACTGATTTCTTTCTATTGATTACTTAACCTTCAGATGGTGCTTTAAACCTATCGCCTTAGGGAATATTTTCAATGATTTCCATCAGTGTTATGACTTTTTACATTAAGCTATTTTGATTAGTTTGCTCTTTCTTAAACTGTTCTCACTGCTATTCATCTTGAATTGTTCTTTTTTTTTCCCCTCCTTCCCTTCCCCTGCTCCATCCACTCCTAAGTTCATATATTTATTACAAAAAATCTATACAGAAGTTTCCAAAAAGCTGTGTGTGTTTCTCTCAGTGATCATGCAGCTAGTGAGTTGCTTTTTGCTCACTGTCCAACTTTCCTGACCAAACAGTTATGAGACCCCGATCTAAGAATCCTCCCCAGTCTTCAGAATGCGTAAGTACAAGAAAACCTGCTGTGAATAATACCAGTCTATTAATTTTAGTGGATTTAAACTCAGACTCCATGAAAACCTAAGTAAAAATACTTAAACGTTTCAAGAAGGCAACACGGACAGGCCTTCCTTAACTTAAGCCTGAATCAACAACTCTGTAATAAACTACCCTGTGAAACACTGTACCTCAGTTAAACAGAACTAAGAGAGGAGTCACAAGAAAAATAAAAGCAACGACATCTCATCAAACTAATGTTTTTAACAAGCTGTATTTCATTTTTTACAATATTTATGTGACTAAAACAGATTTCTACAAATTCAAAATTGAGGAGACCCTGATAAATTTCTTTAATTATCATTTTTTTAAGTTTTTCATTTGTCCTGTTGTAAGCTGAACTAATTTGGCACTGTTGGAAAATAAATTTCACATTTATACTCTCTATTAATAACTGATTTTTAATATGCAGTTACTTTTGTGAAGTTTTACTATATTACTTGCAGCCTAAATCATCTGAATCAGAGGTTATCCAAAAACCAAACTCAATCCCACTCTTACACATTGTAGTGTCACACTTAGTTTGAAAAAGAATTACTAAGCAGGCCATAAAGGAAAACTGAAGAGCAAGTATATCTGGATTCTTACTATCTGTAGAACTTACTCCAAAATCTTTGTTTTATTTTAAGCCTCACATAAAATATTCAGTATAAGTGCTTACATACAAAAACCTGGGATGTGATTAATACAAACAATTCTGCTTCCTTGCTTAAGATTGCTTCCTTCCTTAAGAAAACATCAAAAACACAGTAAATGGCAGGACTGGTAAACAAACAAACATAAAAAAAACCTTGCAATGCACCATTAAACAAAATCCTACAAATCCTCTCAGAAATGCCCTGAAATTCTGCTGACATCGCATTCTCACATTCATATCAGATACCCATGTGGAGGACAGCCAACTGACCTGCAGTCAGCAGGAGCTTACCTGCTTAAGTGCTTTCTTTGTGTGCTGCTGGAAGGAAGATACTAGCTTGCTTTGCACTGGTGCATTTGTAAGGCTTGAATCACGATTGGAAGACAATTCTTCAGATGTCTGCTTTGGGCAAACTTTATAAAAAAAAAAAAAAAAAAAAAAAAAAAAAAAAGAACACTGTTATGGAGGTTATCTTCTCTATTCTTCTTGAAGAGCCCCAAGAAAGGAGGAAAAAAAAACAAAAAAACAAGGACCTGGAAAACAAAACACTTGTGCTATGAAATTAAACTAATCTTGAGGTCCAAATAAGCTGAGAATCTGGTCACACTGTAAATAAAAGTGTTGCTTCACAATTAGTTGTGTCTCCCCAGGCCCTTTCTTTGCAGCCCTGGAGACTGCAGGTTTTGCCTGTTGGGTCCTGAAGGTAACTGAAGGAGTTGAACAAGGGTCCTCATACAGAAGCCAGGCAAAAATTATTTTCTTCGTTAAGTCACTTTCTAAATGTGTACTTTATGTATAGAAGACACTGATGACCCTGTGCTCTAGAAGTAGCAGTGGCTTCTTAGGAGCCAGACTACTCCATTTTGTTCCATTCTTGGCAAAAGTAAGAACACACACTTGCTTTTTTAACGGGTAAATTGGAATATCTCCTCTGAAAAGAGGAAACTGGTCTCTCAGGCAATACACACTGCTATTCGTCAGTCCTTTTAATAATACATGTTTTAATAAATAAATAGCACTCGCTTTAAACAGCCTCTTGACTACATGTTGTCTGAGACACAGAAAAGTCTCCCGGTTAAAAGAAAAAATGACAAATTATTTCTAAAAATCCAGCTTTACTAAACAGATATGAATGCCTGGAGCATTCTGTTAATCACAACAGTCAGCAAGCTTGACTAAAATGGCTATGAAAACCCTTCTGCTCTTCATGTCTGGAATTACCATTACTTTTAGTAGTGCTTAAGACAGCTCCAGCTAAAACAGAATGAGCATGAATCCAGGAGCTGAGCACTTTTCTTCTTCCCTCGTCCTTAAACTCAGTTCGAGTCTGGCTGCCCAACACCAGTGCATGCTGACACGTTCCCTTTGTGATGCCCAGGTCTGCCCTACGTGGCGCAACTCCATAGGACTCTGAGGACATGTAAACAAGCTGCATAGATGTGCAAGGAGGAGTTATAGCCCAAATTTTCTCTTCACGTATGATTTGCTCCTTCCATCCTTCAATAGTGTGTAGAGAACTGAAGGAACAGATCAGAGCCCTTGCCTCTAGCAGTATTTCACAGAATAAATATTTTAAAGGCTTTTTCTTTGTGTTTGTAAGAAAAAAGATAGAATTGAGACAATTCAGCTATCAATAATTAATTGGCAGCATAAGATGCATGGGATATTAAACATTTCCATGCTGAAAGAAAAACTAATTAATACTTACCTCACAACCAGAGAATATATTCTGTTTTATAATATTGGGGCTATATCAAGATAATTTTCATATTAGATTAAAAATTTTCATTAGCAGATAAGAGAAATTCAATTTTGTCACAAGATTTCTAACCGATATTTTCAACTTTTTTCCATGTACTTGAAGCATTTGTCAAGAATATACAAAGAAGCTGCAACACAAAACAGCTTCCAAGCTTACATTAGGATTAATCTTTTCCATATGATGAGCAAAGCTCACAATCAAAAATGACAACTTGAAGGAGCAGTATATTGTCAGCAGAAAACAAACAATAGCTATTTTATATAATTTAAATCACTGCAGTAGTGAAGCTCCTGAGATACAGAACACCTACACCAAAACAAAAATCTGACACTTCAAATTATTCAGCTTTTGCTTTGTTTCTTCTTTCACAGATATTTTTACTGTTTTCTGGCAAAGACTAAGACACTCAAAGGATTGAATTAAAAATGGAAAAAGAGCAAGAACACATCTCAAAGTTAAGGAGAGCAAATTAAAAAATGCCTGAAGAATGGAAACTATCATGTATATAACACTCTCTCCTAAGAGATGATACCACATGACCACATACCATCATGAAGAATGCACTTTCGTCCTCCAGTAGGACTGAAACTTCCATTTACTTTTTTGATTAAGTGGGAAATTCTAATTTTCATGACATTGATTTTAAACATTACCCAAGTGTGTCCCTGTTTATTTTGGTGACAAAGTCAATTTTGGAAAGGTTTGGCAAACTAACTAATGATGCTCAACACTAGTGACACTGTTAGCGTCAAACCCATGATACAGTGAGGGAATAAATGTAAACGTGGTCCTACACTGATTTCGTGCTTTCATTCATAAACTTTAAGTTAAATGAAAAATGCCCCGTCCTTGGACGTGTTCAAGGCCAGGTTGGACGGGGTCCTGGGCAACCTGATCTGAATGTGTATGTTTGGTGGCCCTGCCAGGCAGGGGGGTTGGAACTACATGATCCTTGAGGTCCCTTCCAACCTGGGTGATTCTGTGATTCTGTGATTCTGTGAAAAATGAAACTGTGGCAAGGTCTATCAGAGGCAGTACTTCTGATTTCTATCATTATTTCTATTTTCACAGAATCACAGAATCACACAACTGTAGGGGTTGGAAGGGACCTCCAGAGATCATCGAGTCCAACCCCCCATTTTGCATAAAAACACTATCAGTGTATTGTTTCTTTTTACTTCTGCTTCTTGAAAATGTTGACAATTAAGTAAAATCAAGAAGCAAGCCTCATTCTGCTTGGTGAAGCAACTGGAACTAAAACCTGCTGAAATAATAAACCAGTTACATAGCCATAATCTCTTCTGCATGTACAGAAGGAGTACCACTGGATGGCGGTTCAGTTTACTGCAACTCCAAATTACTTTAGATTTTTGAAACAAGCAAACAAACATGTAGGGAAGAAAGCAATTCTTCTTCCTGTAGTCTATATAGGCACATGAGGTTGAAAGACACAGCTTAATACATTTAAAATGATATGGCGACTACAGAAAGGCAACTTCATTTATTAACAACAAATTAGTTGTCTTTCTAAAATATATTTTCTACATTAAAGACAGTTTCCTTCAGATATTAAGTTGCTTAAAATAGTAAAAATCTATTTAAAATATTGTTTTCCATGTTTTACTTCAATTTCCATTTCCATTTAAAAACAGCTTGATACAAATAATGGGTAAAAGCCTAACGATCTACAGTAAATAAGAGATATCACAGACTGTTTTCTAGAAATAGAAGAACATAAACACTGCAAATTTAAATACATGATACTAATTTATATAATTGTTTAATGGCTTATGCAGTCTATTTTCCCAATTAGCACAAAATAATACCCAAATTATTATACAAGCTTTATTTAGAGGCAAATCAATATATTTATTGTTTAAAAGACACTATGAATTAATCTTTCATTAGGAAATTAAATGCGAGACAATTAGTAAATTTATTCTTATGTAAGTCGTGCTACATAATGATTTAAATCAAACTGTAACAAAATCTCAGTATATTGTGAAGGCTGTGACCACAGAAAATTGTGTTTATTTGTTCACTTAAATGGGTAAAATCCAACTGTTTTTCTCTGCGTGAGTTAGAAGTGGAAAAAAAGGGAAAAATGTAACAGAAAAATATGTTGGTGTTTGAAGTGAACACTGATGTTCTTAGTGGGAAAAACAAACAAACAAAAAAATAAAATAACTGGAGCAGGTATTTCTGCAAAGAACAATGGAAAATAAAAACAAATTCTAGAAGAGTTCTTGATACGTATGTACGTGGTCTCTATACATACGTAGGTCACTCTGAAAGTAATGCATCCTATTTACTTCCATGGAAACTACTACAGATATAAAAAGCACAATAACATTCTTTGTTTGACCAAATTCTAGCTATAAAGCACTGTTTTTCAACATACTCAATACCATTAGCTACTCATTTTTGTCAGCGATGAACAACAGCCTGCATGCAGCACTCACAAAAATCTGTATCTACTGCCTCACTGTGCTCAAATCTGCTGTTTGATCTCCATAAACATTCAGCAAACACTGACGAATGTCAATGGATGCCCTCATTTTCCACATGGAGGAATTCAATGACACACCTTTGCTTCATACACATTTCCATGTCAGACGCCATTGTGTCAGACTCCCCCTCTGCTGCCATCTGTATGGCAACAACATGTAATAGAATACTGGGGGGAAGGTTCAACCCCTACTGCAATACCACCAACGTCCGCCTCTGATATTGTGGACTAACATAAAAATACAGAAGGCATTACTTTTGGAGCAGCTCTCATAAATACAACTTTGCAGAGCTGGAACTACTCTGTCCATAAGCTCTGAAGTTTCATTAATATTATCAGATCTATGCTGAAAAGCTGTATTATTAAACAATGCTAAAAATAAATTCAACACTGAGGAACAAAAAAAGAATCCGGAAAGAATGCAACAGATGAAGGAAAAATATTTGGGTAGCAAATAAAAAGACTTCACCATTATTGCTACTGTAGAAAAAGAGAATGAGCCGTTTTAATCCCACAGGAGGCATTTCCATCTAGTAGAGAATAATTAGGCCCCATTCTTTAAATCAGCTTCTTTAAGGAATCAGGAATGAGTGAAGGAATAAAGCAAAAAGCAACTATTAAGCCATAAAATGTTAGGTTATGAGCTGGAAGAGCAGCTGGGTTTCTGAAGATAAGACCTCTTTAGTGAGTGCTCAGAAAGTGTTAACATGAATGATAAAATTAGAATTCCTTAACAAAAAGAACATGTTAAAATGTTTTAGACAACTTCCAGATAAGATAACCTCCTCTCTTCCAAGACCATTTTTCCAAGACCAGTTTTGGTAATTACTGTGAAAAGTTGTGATTTATAAAAATCCACAATGTTACCTTTCAATTTCAAATTTTATGAAGTGATTCAGTAATTTTATATTACCAGCCATATCCCCCCCTGAAAAAAAAAAACAAAAACCAAAACCAACCAACCAAACAAAAACACTAAAAATATGATACCTGCTTAAAACATAATAGAAGATT